ATTGAAATTTTAATGCCGCGCATATGAATGAAATTGTTGTTGTTGTTGTTGCTGTCGCTTGGCTATTAAAACAGTTGCCCGAGATAAACAAAATACAATAAAGCAAAAGCAATGTAAATATGTATATTGCTAACGATAATATAAGGTATCTAATGTTTAAATAGTCGCAAAATTCTTATATCACTAAAAGTTTATACGTTTATACGCGTAGTTCTTACAGCTCGTGCCACACATACCTGAGTCATTCGCTGATTTTTATTACCCAACAAATTGGTAGTTTGCTGCCTTTAAACGGACAGCCATAAGCAATAATAAACACTCGGACACTCGGGTAATCTAAGCGTTAAATCAGTCATGACCAGGTATCCATAATATATATATACATTTTTGCATGTAGCATGAGCTTTGCTAATTTGGCACATATTCTGGGCCGTAATAAGTATATTTAATATATTGTGCATTTCTTACCAAATATGTGGGCCGGCTTAAGTGATTTGGGAATTTTCGCTAAAGCCAACTAATTTATTTAGTCGGCTGACTGCATTTGATGCGCCACATGGACGTGGCCCAAACAGCACAAAGGCAACAAATTTTTGATTGCCAAAAACCTCGCAAAGCCCACGAAAGTTCAGGCCACAATAGTTTTTAGTGCGGATTCTCTCCGGTTTGTTTTGTTTTTGTTTTGTTTCACTTTTGGTTGGTTCGACTGCAGCGGGCGCAGCCTTGACAGCAATTTGACAGACATAAATAAACAACAACAGAAATGGGCGAATAATTTAGTACCCTGTACGTGCCGGAAAAGTGTGTACACCTTGGTACCAAAAGAAAATTGCAAAATTCACTTTGTTTTGCTTAAAACTTCAAGAATTTCGCAGAGAATTGATGCAGGACTTTACATGGATAGAGTTTAGCTCTATAATTATACAACTCATAAGACTGAAGAATCTCGGCTGTTAATTTGTTCACTTCCTTTAACAGAAAGTACAGACTGTAAGCAACATATGTGGGTCTCAAAATGTTATTTAATTTTCTAGATTGTTTTCAATTTCATATATTAACTGAACCCATTTGATTTCACTCTTATCAGCTTCCGTTGCCTTGGACAAATGTATTTTACTTTATTTAAATTCAGTTAAATCAGTTTTCCATTTCGTATAATAAATTTGATATGCCTGCAGAGGTATTCAATTTCATGCATGTCGAAAATTAAAACGTTGGCTTGTTAAATTGTGTGCCGCATAAGAAAGAGATGAAATGTTGCTCTATAGTTGCAAAAAGATTTATAAATGTATTAAAAAAGATTTGTTTTCACAGGAAATTTTCTTATTGAATGTCTCGAAGTCTGTTCATAAAATAAACAATGATTTTCGACGAGTTTGATGTCATATTTTGGCCAAAAGTTTTATAAATTTATCTAACAACATTGGTTTTAACAGGAATGAATGTCTTGAAGCATTTCATTAAATATTCAATTAAATGCATTGATATTGATATTGATGATTTTGATATCAAATTCTGATTCCTTTCATTTAAACAGAAGCAGTTCATGTGTTGTAGGAAGGGTATTAAAACGACGCCAAGAAGCACAGGGAAAATTGCCGCAACTAGAGCTACAAGTTTTGTGTGCCTAAAACTAGGCTATCAAGCTAAAAAGAATAAATAACAAAGGTAACAGCAGCAGCAACAACAATTGGCACACAAGCTACTAAGCCAGAAGCATTTACTGGCAAAAAAGAAAAGAAAAAAAACTGGCCAGGAGAATGTCGCGTTTATTAATGCCAGGGGAGCGCACTTGACTTTGGCCATAATTGTAGTTAGTCGGCCAACTGGCTGTTGGCCAGCTACGCCTCTTGCTTCTTCCATTCGCAATGTAATTTACAATGGGAGAGCGAGCTAAATGTGATCTCCCAACATGACAGTAAATTAATAAACATGGCATACTCACAGCTAACAACATTGTTTATAATCGTATCACTTGCAGGGCATCCTCTTTGAGTTCCTGTTTCTGTTCGGGCCTGGCCTGGGCTGAGCTGCTGAGCTGCTTAGCGACACGTGGCTTATGAGTAGACGCCACATGATATACAGACAACAGATAGCAGGCAACACCCTACGATGTCTGTCCCGATGTCGGTACCTACAGGCAGGCAGCATATGTATTGTGTGTATAGACTCGTATTTCAATGCTTTGTGCCTCAATTGAGAAATGTTTAATGTTCGGATTGCTCTTGAATTGAATTAAATTGCGTGTGATTGGTGCGTAAATAATTCCATTAATTTATGCGGCATGTCGAAATACTTATGTACCACTGCCCGGCAGCTATTTAAATTGTCAACGCGTTTGTCTTTCAGCATATCGACGCATTTCGACGATGCAGTTTGATTTGTGGTTAACACATTCAGGCATTTAATCAACAGGTTTTTTTGTGTGCTCGGCTGGTTTCCGTTGCCAGAGCAACCTTCACATTGGCCTGCAGCCATGTCCATTTCAGACCATTTCAGACAATTTCAGACAATTTCAGTCCATTTCCCTGGCCTTCGGTGTGCGTCTTATTGATTCAGTCATGGGAACAACAGCAGCTTGTATTTATGTATTTATGCCCTCGGACACGGACTTATATATATTGCCTGCATATGGTTACCCTCAGTCATTTAACAAGACAGGTTTCTCAATGTCATGGCTGCTGGAAAATGTGATTGTGGCCCTGTCATGAGTTATGGATAATTTGCCTATGCTCGTTGACTAGTCTCAGACAGTTTTGTCGTGTGACTGTCATCTGCCAGAAAACTACTTGTATTTCTTTACCATTGATGTATAAAACATTTTTATGCCAGCGCCTCGCACCGCTTGTTAAAAGATTTTTTCTGAATCTCATTTCACTTGGCCTGAACTTACTGAGTTTGTCAAACTTTTTAAATTGAACGGCATAATTAGTGATATTTAATTAGTGCCAATGCCAATTAGAAGGCGTAAAGAGATAAATGACAATCTTGAATATTTATTTATTAATTCATAAATGTTTAATTTTTCTTTTAAGATCTCTATTTGTAGCTTGATCTTAATAACTTTTATGACTTCGCTTTTTTAAGCTTTCGAAGCTCATCTGTTAAAAATTGACTTAAAGCAGTTATAATTTTTTTTTTTAATTATTTCATAAACCAGCTGTCAATTGGCAGCAATCAACAATATGACGCCCGAAACAACTTTCCAGCCAGCCGGGCTTAAGTGGGACTTTTTATACTCTGTGACCATAAGAAATGGGTTGCAAAGAGGGCATATTAGTTTTATGCAAATGTATGTATAAGGTAGCATCTACGAAGCCACAAAGTATGAGTATATATTCCTCACCAGTTCGCCTCTCTGTCTTTACCCGCCTACCGAGCTACAGACTTGAAATTTGAAATACATATTCTTGCCATTTGTACGCAGAATGAATTTCCATTTTTACTCTTCTCCATTTCCCTTACATCGATAAATATTGATATATAATAAGGACCTTTAAGCATATTTCAGAGATAATAAAAGGTGACATTAAATTTGATAAGCATTGTCCTTTTTGGACATCTCCACTCACCTGCTCCACACACAAGCAGACGCCTTGCTTTTTATGTTATTATATAAACACATTTGGATGCTAGGCATAAGCTTAGAGTAGAATACTGTGACCATAGTATCGAGCTAGGAAGGAAAAGAACCTTGCAATAACAACTCAGCACTGGGTATCTCCTAGTCAGGCACTCTCCACTTGCTTCCTGTCGCATTAGTTAGTTTCTTGCTTGAGACCCAAATACGTTTTCATTATGAATGAATCATGAATCTACCATTTAATCATGTCTGACTCATTATGGACCCCTCTCTCTACCTAGTTCATATATTTTTACCACTAGCTGCGTTCAAGGGCTCAGTGTCGGCTTGCCTAATCTTGAAGGTGTCCCAGTTTATGCGGCAACATGCCTGTGGCCCCACATAATGCGCCAAGCGGGTAATTAACAACTGCAGTAGTCGCAGTTTTTTTTCTCTCTTTTAGGCCCGATTACTAGTCATAGCCATTAGTCGCAACAGGACTTGCGTGTTAAATTATTGCTTGGCATTCATTTGATTATGACATACAGCCACACACACACACACACACACACTCACATACAAGCACATGTACATGCACACATTCTCTGACATACATGCACGTACACAATTAGCCAAAGGCGTGTCCTGACTGCCGCTGAAAGGCAGACTTGGCTTTTGTTTTTTTTTTGTTTTTTTGTTGATTCTTTCTTTCGGTTTTCGCGCAGCGGCTGGTGGAAAAGGTTTCTTACCAAGCCAGTTACCAAAACCAAAAAAGAAGAAAGAACAGTCGAAGACATATACGTCTAAATATAGAGCTCTACCCTCGATAGATTGTTCCGATATATATATATATATATATATATATATATAGTAAATATGATTAATAAATGTTTAAAAAGAAACAGTAAAACATAAACAAAATGAGTTATATATATATGATATAAGCTGCTTTCTGAGGGACTTATTTGCGTAGGAACAGATTGAAAGATTTCTACTCGGCTGTTGATACTTATCAAGCATTCATATATTTTATGTGAATGGAGACGTCGCTTCTATATTTACAAGGGTATACAAAATGGGTGTCACGTCGCAAACATTAGAAATCATTAGCAAAAATTGTCTGACAAAGGCAGCCTCATCGTAAATTGATAATTATCTTGTTATATTAATACAAATTCAGTAATATGAAAAAAAGGATAAACTTCAGCTATAAAATGTTGTTCGTCAACAAATATTTCTAAATATAAAACAAGTTCAAATGCATTCCACAAATATTTTGGAAATTTTACGCAGCAGATTTTTAGCGCAGCTCAAAAATAGTCAAGGAATGGGCGCTTGGGCATGAGATGGGACTATTTTTGGATTTGGGGTCAAGTGCTGGACAAGCGCTGAATCTAAGCCAGACGACATTCGCAACAGCAGCAGCCCCCGCGGCGCATTGTATTTAAAAATTGAATTTATTTTCGTTACTGCCGAGTTGCCGGGTTGTTCGCTGGTTTTGGGGCCCAACGAGGCTGCAGTAATGCGCATTGATTTTCCTTCGAGCCCATCCATCGATCCAGTAGGAAACTGTTTACCACTCAATAACCCAATCAAATCTCAATCCCAAACTCGGGCTCGAACTTGATGGACGAGGGGGCGGCACAAATTGACGCTAAAATACCTGCGAAAATTGTTGATTTGATTTGGGCGCGTTAAAACTTTTTAATTAATTGCTGCGAGCTTGTAATATGTGGTTGCTGTGCTTGTTGCAAGTAGCTCTAGCTCTAGCCGGCGTGTCTACGGATGTGGATCAAACTCCGAGTTCCGAGTTTGGTTTCCATCCATTTCGTTTGGCCAAATGTCAAACGTGACCCGAAAGTTGTTTGCTCTTGCCTGGCTCGCACCGGACGTGACAGTAATAGGTCATGCTTGATTTTATTCGATTTTTCCTCTGGCTGGCCGCAAAGTTTGTTTTATTTGATTTTGATTTGATGTTTTTTATCGCAACAGTTTTGACACATAAATTTATCTACAAGTCAGTGTTAAAAATTGTTTACTTTTTATGGTTTTTAGGTTAATCAAACTTTGCTGCTTGCTAGCAAAATGGGTGAGTTCTTAAAATACTCAATTTAAATTTATATACAAAATACTCACATTAAATCCATACTACTTCAAAAGTAAACGAATATTCATAATTGATTTACATTATTATATAGTACTATCAATATTCTTATTTTTTTATTAATAATATTAATAATATTCGATCATAATTTACACTATTCTTATATTTGTTTACATACACTTTGCACCATCTTTTGTTTAGATCTTAATTTTATAGCGTGACATCCCTCACTTCTGTTATTTCCGATTTTTTATCAATTTAATTTATTTAATTAATTTTAATAATTGGGCGCACAAGATAACGCACGTAATTCTAAAAAAGAATCCTGCCAATCCAATCCAAATTAGGGCAATTTACTTTTTAAATTCTGCGAAATTAATTAAATTTCAATTGATTAACACCTTGCAAGCCGCCGAAAGGCAAACTTCAAAAAGGCGCGCTCCGCTTGAGAAAAGCACTTCAAAGTCGTTTGGCTGTTACTTTAGAAATGGGCAAACGCGTCGTATACGCAACATCCTGCCGCACTGCGACGCGTTCTAACGGCTACTGAATGGCCGTTCGGCGTTTCGCACGCCGAACAGCCAAACAGCGACGACGAAGATGACGACAAAGACAACAGGCGGCAATATTTGAAGCAACAAGCGCTTGTCCAGGAGCGGCGCGCGGGCTGTCGGTAATATTAAAAATTATCCAGCATGTGCTTAGCAGCTGTCAAGGTCTTTGTTTTTTAAAATCATAGCGTTTGTTTGACGACGTGTTAGACGCACAATTAAAATGTCTGCTTAATCAAACAGACTTTTTTATCTCATCGTGGCGCAAACATGCACGAAGTGAAACCACCTGTTAGCAGCAGCAGCAAGTTAACAGTTGACTAACAGCGCTGTTGTTCGAAAGCTTTATTTGTCCACAGGCCGCAAAGCTTTTTCTGTTGTTATTGTATAACAAATGGATGCCGAACTAATTTATACTTTTGAACTTAGAGAGGTTTAGTTACTTCGAATAGTTAAATTTTAAGTAATTTGTTTTACAAATATTGTAATTATCATTATTGTCATATTATTACTTTGCTTCTATAAGTGTAGATATTCAGTTACAGCAGGTCGTATTGAATCTCATTATAATTTTTTTTTTCATCTGAATAATCCAACAATATAATTTTCTCTATAAGGGATTACGTATTCTGATTTAGATATGAATACTTTATACTTTTATAATAACATTTATAAATGGGCGCGCAGACTAAATTTGGTATATTTGAAGTTAAAAAAGCCGATTGTTATCGATTTTATGAAAATCGAAAAGTGCCATCGCCATTTTTAGCTGGTAATTTGCTGTCACGGTAAGCGCACTTTTCAAATTTTTTCCATATAGAAATAAAAATGTATTGAAACCAATCGGTTAAGAAAAACTTTCGTTAAAAAAAGAGAAAACTTGGATTTTTTCCTCTACTGCAGAAAAACAAGCTTATTAGTAATTTCTTTTAAAGTAATATCGAGCAAATTTTTTAGCAAAAGACGACAATGCAGAAAGTTACCCTAGTTTTCCAGTACATTGGCAGACGGTTCTTGAAATAAAGGTTGCAGAGAGGGGTGTAGCTGATTTGATGTTATATGTATAGCATTGAGAATAAATCGATAATCTCAACACACAGTCTGCATGTTTAAATAATAACGCGATCGAGATCTTAAAAATCACCATGTCTAAATTTTTAAAAAAGTTCTCATGTTGTCATTATTGGCAATCATTTATTGTTGTCATTATGATCTAGCTTGTTTGGTTCGGTACCTATTAGATTTGGAATTCTGTGGATTGCTCTGTAGACAAGTACAGCGCAGTTTATCGGATGGACGATTCTTTTCATTTAAAATATTATAATTTTGCTAGGACTAACTAACGCCGGCTATATATATCCATATATCTACACTTTGCGGTCAGTGTCTTTCAATTATCTATGGAACTTTCTAAGTTTGGTATTTTTGTTTGGCAACTCTTAAGTATATTTGCGATTGCCGCTTGCGGTCACACTGAAACTCATTCTTTGAATCCAATTCCTCGCCACGCCAAGGACGGCAGTAACGTAAGTGAGAAAATATAATGTTCTTTTAATTGCATAAGAGAAACTAATCACATGTTCAAATAGATATAAAAATTATTTTTAGATTTGTGTTTTGTTTCGGTACATGTGAGTGTTTACTGACTACATTGAAAATTCGCTTACACTGACACTGCACAATATTATGTAACCTACAAAAGTGAACGACGGACGTAGTGAAAAATTGCGAATGCCGCAGCAGCTGATTTAATTACCTTTGCTAATTTTACACTTTCTTTTTGTCTTTGCAGCTCAGATACAATAGCATAACAAAATAAACCAAAAAAAAAACGACAAAATGTTCTCGTCATTTTTTCAAGCCGCCAGGAATTCGCCATTTAGATCGCCATTTACCCCAGTCCGGTGCGATGACGGCCAGCCTGCTGTGGAGAGTGAGCCAGCGCTTGGAAGTGGCCCTGGCCCAGTAGTTGGACGTGAAATCGCAGCTGCAGCATCATCTCAATCCGATTCCTGTGAGTTTGGCAGCGCCAAATATTTTGCTCTGTGCGGTATCGGCGGTATTTTGAGCTGTGGTACCACGCACACCTTTGTGGTTCCATTGGATTTGGTCAAGTGTCGTCTGCAGGTCGACCCCGCCAAGTATAAGAATCTGATCCATGGCTTCAAGGTCACTGTAGCTGAGGAAGGCGCTCGAGGCCTGGCCAAGGGTTGGTTCCCAACTCTAATTGGCTATTCCGCTCAGGTGGGTGCTTACATAAGTCTGATAATTCTTCATAAACGTGACCTCGCATGATGTTTTTTCAGGGTCTGTGCAAGTTCGGTTTGTACGAGGTGTTCAAAGTTAAGTACGCCGACATCCTTGGCGAGGAAAAGGCGTATTTGTACCGTACCTATGTGTATCTTGCCGCTTCGGCTTCCGCTGAAGTCTTTGCCGATATTGCGCTGGCGCCATTTGAGGCAGCCAAGGTAAAGATTCAGACTGTTCCCGGATTCGCTAACACATTCCGTGAGGCAGTGCCCAAGATGTATAAGGATGAAGGCATTACAGCCTTCTACAAGGGTTTGGTGCCATTGTGGATGCGTCAGATTCCGTACACCATGATGAAGTTTGCATGCTTCGAACGCACCGTCGAGCTGCTCTATAAGTAAGTTAACCAATATTCACTCGCTCGTTTTCTCTTCTCACGTGCATGATATTTGTTATTTAACAGATATGTGGTACCCAAGCCACGTATTGAATGCAGCAAGGGCGAGCAATTAATTGTGACCTTTGCCGCTGGTTACATTGCTGGCGTCTTCTGCGCCGTTGTTTCGCATCCCGCTGATGTGGTTGTCTCCAAGCTGAACCAAACCAAGGGTGCTAGCGCTATAGGCATTGTCAAGTCTCTCGGCTTCATGGGTATGTGGAATGGATTGGGGCCCCGTATCATCATGATCGGTACGCTCACTGCCCTACAATGGTTCATCTATGATGGTGTCAAGGTTGCTCTGGGCATTCCTCGCCCACCACCACCAGAGATGCCCGCCAGTCTGAAGGCCAAGGAGAAGAGCAAGTAAATGGCTCTCACGAAATTCCAAAAGAAAAACAATGCAAAAAAAATGAAAAACATCTAAATTAAGTCCAACTCAAAGTGCAGATCCAGCAAATAGCAGGAAACGGAACGTCAACATCCATTAGTAGCATACATGAACTGGCGAAACAAACATACCAAATTTGCTTTTAAATATCTGTTTTCAACTGATTTTACCTCTTCTAACTTTACACGCATACATTTCGGTTCATAGCCATTCCAAGGTAGCTAATAACTACTAATGCATTCTTCAAACTGTTCGGAACAATATACATTCTTCACTTATCTATACTTAGCTTTATATATTCCATTCTATTAAAATTTAATGTGCATGTAAACGTCGATTGCCGTACGTATGCATATAAATGTCTTAGTTTACACTGAAAAGTCTATTTGTATGTTGTTTCTCCAACTTCAATGATAAGTGTTGAATTGTAGGGATGAGAATATAATAAGTAATAGATATGATACGACACTCAAATGCCGCTTAGAAAAATTCCCTGACACTCTGAATAAACTAAATTATAAAATTGAAACAGTATTCATTTGACTTTGATTTTGGATTGAGGGCTAACCAGTTTATCAGCGGCGCGTTTTGCACTTGTGAATTGCATAAACGAATCGCAGCTACTATATACAATGCTATACCTACACTATTTATGTATAAAGTCGATTACAAAATTAGATAACCTGTGACCTTGTTTTATTGGCCAATTGATGCCTCGTTTCGTTTATGGCAATTGCTTTTCGAAAATACACTAAATAGCGATTTCCTCAATATGTGTATCCTTAGATGTTAAGTTATCTAACTTGGTAAGATTCCCTTCCATAATTATACTGCCAAATATCCACATGTTAACAAAATAAATAAAGGATAAAAACGTTATTATATAACACGTTAATACGTTATACTACAATAAAAGCTTTATCTGATTACCTAGATAGTCGGTCTTTGCGATTTACTGTGGCCGTAGTGAGCATGGTGTGATTTCCGTAATCTTATCTACGTAATACGATAGCTTCTGCATTTTAACTTTTAACCTCAGCAGACTGGTTATATATTAAATCTCTTTTTAATATTCTTATAATATATGAATATCCGGCCGGTTTTTAATCAAAATTGAAAGTAAATTAACTCGTCAATTCTCACGGAGCATGAAATAATACCAAAGCTAAAAGTCGTTTTGAACGTCGAGCACGGAACTTCAAATTATTTTTTCATTTATCAAATGAATATGGTATAATCAAGCTAGTTTTTATTTTGTATTCATTTAATGATAGCTCATGATAAAAAACTTTTGAGGAAGACCAAGCCTCAAAGCATAAATAACTGAAGCCCCAATTATTGCATTCATCTAAACATATTTGGATGATGTCAATTTTGGGTAGAGGTCAAATGTAGCCCGCTTTTTGTATATGAAAGTATATATGGCTAAAAACTACTTTCAGGACAACGGGCATTTTGTAAAGAAATTGAAGGCTTAAATCACCTGAACGGACAAGTTTATTTTGTTTTATCGATTTTCCTCAAGTGAGAAAAGGCAAAATGTAATAGGAGCTCAACAGACTTAGTTTTGAATAGGAGTTGGTAGTATAAAAAGTTATATTTAACAAAATAAAGAACATTTCCATACATATATATATATATATTTATATTTTTAATTTATATTTATGATCAATGAGAAAAATAATATAACATATTGGCTCGTTGTATCATAATTTCACTGCGTACATATTGGGTTGCAATTGGCATCTGTTAAAAACTAAATAAATCATTAAGTTTTGGATAAGAAAATTAGTTTTCTCGTCAGCTACTGGGACGCGGGGAAAGGCTCTTAAAAATAAATAACCTCTAAGCACTAAAGCTAAATCTTTACAAAACTAAACGCATAGGTAATGTATAAATGTATTTAACAGGCAATTTTCTGGTTTATGATTTATCTATATATGTATTCTATGTACAAATTGCTTATGGCTAAGTTTCAAAGTCGGGTTCAGACGCATACAAACAATTAGAGACATAGAGCTTTTTATTTAATGTGATGTTTTCTATTATATATGTATATGTATTTTCGTTTTGTATGGTATTATTTTGTAGTTCAGGACGTGTTTCTCCATAACAAGCCATTTCAGTCTTAGAGTTTCAAATAACCAAAATAATAATTAACAAAAAAAAATCATATAAAATGTTCCATGTAAAAACTTAATGACTAAATTTTCATATATTCGTTAGAATTGAATTTTCTTCTGTTTCTTTATTTGCAAATAAAGACAATTTCGAAACAATGGTTTGCTAGGATAACGCACGCTTTCATTTGTAGTTTTTGTTATGTTCTTTCAGTTGTTTTTTTTGTTTTTTGCATTTATTTTAATTTGCGTTGTTTTGTTTTTAAACTAATATCAGTTATATGGTAGACAATCACACAGGCATACAGGCAAACATAAAATATACAAAATAAAAAATTGATATTGATATCATTACACAATCAAACATACTACGAAACATTTTCAGGGATATGTATATGGGTATAAGGATATGATCTTGAATTTGAAATGAGCTAGTTTTTAGAAAACTCAATTTTGCTTAGAAGTAAAAGTAGTTTCTGTTTTGATTGTACGTAGAGAAAACCTCAAGTCAATGGCACCTTTTGAATTTGTACCAAGTTCTGGTTTAAAAAAAATAAAGTCTGTTCGTCTGTTTATTGACGGTATGGTAAAAATGATATGAGTTCCCCACCCACCCCATAATCCATTTGATAATTTTTGTATTGCTCGGAGCCAATTCTCGGATGGGTTGCTGCTTGGTTCAGATGGAAATCAATTTCACTTAGAAGTGTACATTCGGAAGGATCTGAATCGATCCCAATATCCGATTGTCCAGCCACAGACCTGCTTAGCTATACAGTTAGCTTGACCTTCTTCAATTCTATATTCATTTAACATATATTCTACCAATATGGCGTTTTGGGCTCCTGAGTCCCGTTATTCTGCTGTTGGACTTTGGCAAGTGCATCGGTTAAGGTGGATCGCATTTGCTGGCTGGAGTTACGGGTTTGACCTTTATCATAGGGCGACAGGGCGTTGTAGTAGAAAGGTGAACGCTTGCTGATGGTATAGTTTTTGCCCTGCAAAGAGAATTCAAGTTATAATTTGAACAATCAAGATTCCATTGCTAGAACTCACATCATTATTGTCCCAGAATTCGTTTTCATTTGTACGATAGCATATGCAGAATTCCAGACGCTTCGAGGATGGGGGCAGCGTGATCTTGAATGAGAATGTATCGAAGACAACGTGTGCACAGGTGGCAGGACCATAGGCCCTGGCAAATGTACAAAATATGTCCTGTTGGCTTTTCCAATCGTCCCAGGTGACGCGCACAATGACTTCCTTTTGAAAGTCAATATTCCGAACCTTGATGGTGCCAACCACAATCGATTCCTCATCCTTGACAATGACATTCTCCAGTGAGACAAAGTCACTTTCAATCTTTTGCCTGTGGACAGATATTTGGATTAGTTATTTTTATGTTTTTATTGCCGGACAGTTTGTATGCTACCTAAATGTCAAATAATCGGATGCTGGCTGCTTGAAGTCCACAGTCCATTGATCTGGCGGATGCGGACTGACCAGTCCTTGTGTAATTTGCTCCAAAAACTTCATGCTCCAGTATGGGGGCACATTCGAGGGCTCGGACATGACGCGCACCTCCGTCAGCGATAGACCCTCATCATCTGCGAAGATCACATGCTTTTTGCGCAAGCGACTGCAAGATAGAAAAATAAGAGAATAAGTATAGATGATATATTGAATTGTTCTTAAATGTCGAACTAATTGAAAGCTGGCGCAACAAATAGACTGCATTTTGGCCTTGAACCTGGCCTTATCAGTTCTCGTGTCTTGGACCCCCCGTCTTTATGCAACGGTCATGAAGTCAAGTATCATTTAGGATTTTTATTCGCTAGCTTTAAGTTTATGGGTTTGTTATTTGTATTTCATATTAGAACTGCGCCATTGCATTTTTATATGTTTTATTTTTAGCAAATCGATGTTTAAATTTGACAAAAATAAAATGAATAGAAAAAGTCAATTGAGGAATTTTGGTTACATTTAGATCCGCCTTGGCAGGCAACGACACTAATCGGAAGCTGTCACCACCCATTGCCAGTAAATTGGCATTTAAACATTTGTTTCTTTCCCTATTTTAACCAAAAGTCATTTAACATTTAAGTTTATACTGAGTGGACAGCCTTGTGTACAAAACTTTGTTAAGATCTATTAACAATTTTTGCGTTCTTTCCGATGATATAGATATAGACATTTTTTGCACATATAGAAATATTTTGGATTTTTGCGTCACATTAATTTTTGGGGGCGCATATACCCCAACAGAGTGGGAGCAAAATGTTTGTATATTTTGTGCTATTTCGGTATCCACGTACCAGTTTCATTTCAGGCCAAAATATAATATATGCCCGATGATTTGTGTCCGGGGGGGACAGAGAGGAGAGAGAGAGAGAGAGAGAGAGAGAGAGAGAGACTCTTGAACGTGTCTACTTTCTAGTATGTATTTTCTTTATTTATTTATTTTTTTCTTCACTCGAAAGATTTTTAACGAGTTTCGAATGTAAATAAAACACGCCCTTTTTCAAAAGGCGTGGTTTAAAATACCTAGACTTATAATATATATCAATATACAAAAAACTTTAGAGTGTCAGACTTGTATTAGTATAAAATACAGATGAGAAGCAATCCCAAAATGAAATATCCAACAACATTTCAAGAATGTAGACTAGAGTTATACAATAAAAATATCTATGGAGACTCATATGGAAAAAATGCATGTCTATTGATATGATAAGATTAAAGTTTATCAAGCAATTTGTTAGGGGCTTGTTTTATTTTCGTGGCACACAATAAAATGGAAAGAAAAAGAAATAATAATAAAAAAGTCAGCTATTTGCGCCGACAGGCCCCATAGAATTAAAAGAAATGGGCTGACGTGAGGAAACACATTTCACATAATATGGCGAAAAACAATTATTTTCTTAACATTTTTCAATTTAATGAATAGCAAACACAGAGAGCGATTGAGTTATATGGCAAGAACATGTTTTGTGTGTGTGTGTAAACGTGGCCAACAATTGTGGCTATTTGCTAAGTTGGCTCAGTTTATTAGCCTGACGCCAATATCAAACAGCCGGCTGGCTGACTGGCTGGCTGACTGGCTGGCTGGCGATGATCACGCGTTGAAGGCGTGTGCAATCGACGCTGCATTTTCTTTAACAGGTTTCTACTATTTTTTTTTTTTTTTCGATTCGACAATCTGGCGATCGTTCGATCGTGTGCGGGGCCCAGATCAGGTCTCGTTTTGTACGCGTTTTCCTGCGCTCGAATGTTGCTTGTGTCAACTGTTGAATTTTTATAGTTTTTCAGTTTTCCATGCATTTGGGGCCTTTATAGGCCAGCTCGGCTTGAGGAAGTGCCGAAACAAGTTTAAATTCCTTTCTTGTTTTCTGTTTCTTTTTCTTGATTTCTCGA